CAGAAAGAGGGCAGAGAAGAGCAAGAAAGAGGATTAGGGGACTGGAGGCTAAAGCATATGAAGAACGGTTGCAGGAACTGGGAATGTCTAGTTTAATGAAAAGAAGGACCAGGGGAGACATGATAGCAGTCTTCCAATATCTCAGGGGTTGCCACAAAGAAATCAAACTATTTCCAAAGAACCTGAAGGCAAGACAAGAAGCAATGGGTGGAAACTAATCAAGGAGATCTCGAAGCCACTTAGAAGGAGAAATTTCCTGACAGTTAGAACAATTGTGGAATAGAAGTTGCCTCCAGAAGTTGTGAATGCTCCAACACTGGAAGTCTTCAAGAAGATGTTGGATAGCCATTTGTCTGAAACTGTATAGGGTTTCCTGTCTAGGCAGGGGGTTGGACTAGAAGACCTCCAGGGTCCCTTCCAACTCTGCTATTGCATTGTAATGAGTTGAATTTGGCTCCATTCTGCAAACCTTTCTAGTCCACAATTGTTAAGTGAATCATTGCAGTCGTTAACTTAGTAACACCATGGTTAAGGGACTCTGACTTTGCCATTGCTTCTTGGAAGATTGCAAAAGGGGATCACATCACCCCGGGGCCTTGCAGCTGTCATAAATGCGAGTCAGTTCCCAAGTGTCTGTTGACCTCATGACCGCAGGAATGCTGCAACGATCATTAGAGTGAAAAATGGTCCTAAGTCACTTCGTTAAGTACCGTTGTAACTTGAAATGGACAGTAAGTGAATTATAAATTGTGGGCACGCTGTAATCCACATCCGACTTGGGATTGGAAAAGGGCATCAGAGCCATCTGGTTTCCCATGGCAAAATCACAATTTCCCCCTCTTAAACGGAAAGAATTCCAGTCTGCAAAAATTGTTCGCCGTTGGGCGAGTCTCTTTTTTGCAAATCGTACTTTCCAGATTCTTCCCTCTCTGCACATTCTCTCCATGTCGGGTGGAGCTGTTGCAATTTCATCTTGGCCGGCGGGCTCCGGGATTGCCAGGGTGCCAAGTTGTAGCTTTCCTGCAGCCTGCAAAAAACGTCAGGTTGATTGCAGAGCCTTCAAAAAAAAAAAAGGAGACTGTAGTTTAAGCCTCCAGCTTAATTAAAATTTGAATATTCTTTTTTCCAACTAAGACGCAGGAACTGAGATGGTCTCACAGGGCAAGAATCGGCTTGCCTTGCTTCTTAAACTCCTCTGTGTCTGCTGGAAGGGCTGTTGGGAGCAGGGTGGATAAAAATGCACGGATTTTTTTAAAAATCGGATTAAAAAAAAATTTAAATCAATTTTTTTTAAAATTTGAAACAGATTTTTACGTTTTTTAAATCAAATTTATTTTAATAAAATGCTTTTGGAATAAGAAAAAATCTACCTAAAGATAGTTTTCTATTTAAGACACCTTCATAATTTAGTTTATTCCGCATGAAACGGAGCTTAGTTGTGTAGCATGAGGTTGTATATTCTGCGACATTGGGACTGTTTGATGAGTCGCTGAAAGACAGAGGGGACAGCTGCTCTTTAAAAAATTATGATTTAAATTGAGTTGATTTAAATCCAGCCTTTTCATTTGTGATTTAAATCATGATTTCGATTGTGATTTAAATCGAACTGATTTAAATCAAATCCACCTTGGTTGGATCTGTGTGTTTGTGTGTGTGTGTCCAATTGAGATTCCTGCTAAATTGAGGGCTGAGGAATTCTGGGAGTTGAAGTTCACGAGGCTTAAATTTGCAAAAGCTGGACATCTGCTGTCTTGCATTTGAAATTTTGCTCCATTTGGCCACTGCCTTCCACCTTTCTGCTGTATTTTCAGAACTCTAGATAACAGAGCGCTTAAAATGCAGGAAGGAGAGTTGGCCTCCTAATCCCATTAACCCTAATGGGACCCTAATCCTGTATCATCGGAAATATATTTATACCGGATCAAAGGATTTGAGACCAGCCCTTGAAATGTGGCCGTTGTTCCTGTTTCTCTCCCGCTTACAATATGAAAAGAAAAGAAATTTCTGGTTAAGAATGCAATTATTTTTTTTAAAAAAAAATATTTTTATTAAATGGATTTTTTTTTTTAAAGACCGATTTTTTCCCCCAATTTCCTTCTGTACAACATTTCTACCTCGGTATACACCCATTGTAAATGGGATGGCAAAAATAAAACCCACAATTATTTTCAGAAACATTTAATTCGGGATGCTTTGCGACAAGTATGGCAAAAAAAACTCAAGTAAAACACTATATTAAAATTCCAAATTGGCTATCAACGATGGAAGCGTTAATCTACTCAAATGTTATAAACATAGATAAAATAAAAAGATACAAAGATTTACTAAACGATCAGGGTGAATTAAAAACAAGATTAGAACTAATAGAACTGGGCCATAGACCTTGACTGGTGGGCATATTATGCAGATAAAGGCTAGATATAAGAAAAATAACATCACAGATTCCAAAAAGAACTGCAAGATCTCGATAAAATTTTACAAGGTAGAGAGGATAGATTGATCAAGAAATTATATAACTACTTATTGAATTACAGAATGGAGGAGGAGGTAGTTAAAGGAACTAGGACAGTGTTTCTCAACCTTGGCAACTTGAAGATGTCTAGACTTCAACTCCCAGAATTCCCCAGCCAGCATTCGCTGGCTGGGGAATTCTGGG